AAAGGAAAAGGAAATAAAAAATATCCCGAATCGAACGAATTCCAAGATGCTCGCGAAAATGGCGCGCACGAAAACGGCCACCGTCGATAATCACTCGTCTTGTCCCCGATGACGAAGGCAATAACGTGCTCCCCCGATCCACCCGTTAAAGGTGGATCGCAGGGAACGAAGGTAATTCGGTGTATCTCGCGAAAGGAGAAAAACGGGAGGCGGTTCCGCAAGAATTTCGAGGTGGTCGTTAGATGGTTAGGTAGAAGAAAGGGTAGGATTCCTTCCCGCGGTGGAACGCGAGCGACGAAAAATCGCCTTTACACGGACACTTTTTCCACCGCCTTCCTCCTCCTCCTCCTCTTCCCAGGATTCATGCCACGGATACATCCACCAAACTGTAGTAGCTCCGGCCACTAGTTTTCCCTCTTTTAGAGAGGAGGAGGAGGAGGAGGAGGAGGACAAAGTCGTTTCGACAAATGGAACGTCCACGCGATAGAGAAAATTGTACCGGCAATAATAAAGCGATACGACGGACCACCGAAGGGGCCGAAGGGGATGAATTGAACTTCGAGCAAAACCAACCCCTTCTCCCCTTCTTGCCCCTCGCCTACACCCGCTGATACCGCACGATAAGTCGAAATATTACGTTCGCTTGTTTATCCTTCCACGATGTACCGTTTAATCTGATTGTATTTTTACCCCTCCAGGAGGGGACCGGTAACAGGAGAGTTATCGTTTTCCTCAGATCGGTGCGCCACACAGAATCCTCCCGCAATATTTTTCTTCCCCCATTATCTGTGTCGTGGTATATGATGTTTTATATATATAGGATTTTCGATTTGTTAAATTTGATTCGAGATAGCTTTAACTTCGAGATAAAGAAAAAGATTATCAAAAGATTTGTCAGTATGGATTGGTTGTCGTTGAAAATAGTTATTACTGTTGTATCGATGCGGAGCGTTCGGTGTTTCGATTGAAAGTATGCTCCGTGCGCATTGGAGTGGCAAATAATTTGTTTAAATAATATTCCGGGGGTAATGTATCGTATACAATATATTCCGAAATTCGTATGGATTTCTAACTGCGACGCAGACTACACGATACATTCCAACAATGTTGATAAATTCGTGACCCGGCAAGTGCGCCAATCCAAACTTTCCACCGCTGAATACTATTAAAACGAAAATTTGTGTTACACCGGCGTTACGACTTTCCCATATATTCGCGCTCGGATAAAACGACGCGCAAAATCTTGAATAATTCAGGCGTCAAGTTCTTCTGGAAGACACGAGAGAATATGCCGATTGCCGATTTATTAATTCAGAGCGGAGATAATTTATTGACGCGAAATTTACCAACTTTCACGAAGCTGATAATAAATAAGAAGAAGAAGGAAGCGTTTTCGTTTCACGAATTTATATTATTAATTTCCATTTCGAGAATGGAGAATAGAAATTTTGACGAGTTTCGCGAGAAGAATATTCCGGAAAAGTGGTGGAAGGGTGTGGAAATTGTGGGGTAATTTGATCGAAACGGGGGAACACCGTCGAGGGTGTGTTCCCCCGATGGTTGTGGCCGCCAACAAGCGGCTTTCGACGGAATCAAAATATTTGTATTCATATCGGGTAGTGCGGCTCGAGGGTAAGTGGCTTTCTATGTACGTAAAAGGAGGGTAAAGTACTCACGTTAGCGGTGTCGTCGAGTTTCCGCTTCCACGCATCGCTACGTTCGATTAGGGCGTTCCACTGCTCTGAAAGTTTGTTCACTTCCCGGCGAATGCTTCGAGTCAATTCGCGTGCCTGCTCCTCCGCGCTTCTGTAGCCCCTCGAATCGCCGTCCAATTCTCTACCGGCTGAAACAGAAACGTCAAACGTGAGCGATACGCACGGGATTCGAATCGAGGTTAAACAGATCTTTTACGACAGACAACATCCTTTTCCAAATTTCATATCGGTGAAAAATTTTTGGCCTCGCTTTTCCTCGCCCCCCTTCGTGATCGCAATTTAAAAAGTCGTATATCAACGAGATTTTCCTTGGCCGAAGAAATTTCTTTCTTATCATTTTCGTGAAATTACGAATCCATAATAAAATTTCACTGTTAATTTAATTCTCGTTCCATACGATATCGTATATCCACCACCTATGCATTGCGGAAAATTTCGTGCAAACTAATAAATTATAGGCGCGCAAATAAACAAATCAAACAAAAGCAAAGACGTAGGCAAACAAATGGAAAATAAACATATCGAAACGGAATATTTAAATGACCGAACGCGTGATATTCCTTCCTTCCAGATTTTACAAATTCCAATTAATTTTCACGTGTTAAATTTCAACCGTTGGTTACAGATTTCGTATCGAGCGCGATGGTATCTTCGAATTGAATCGCGTTACCATCTAATAATTCCTCGCAACAATAACAATACCAATTCATTCTCGAATTTGTCCATGTTTTCCTTCAAATAGAGAGGGTTCCTCCAAATTAACGGAGAGATCGATAACTCTTAATCCTTCCCGTTTCGATCTCCGTTTTTTTCAAAAACCAAAATTTGACGTTTATCGCGCCCTCAGTGAAAATCCTCCACCACCCCTTCTTTTTTCGATTTCAAACAGGCGACGTGACGAAGCGTGACGAAATGACGTTACGTTTTCATTCACGTTTATTTGCATCCGTGGATATTTTGACGATGTCCCTGGATCTATCTATCGCCACGAATTAATTGTCCTATGAATCACGCATCGTATCACGCGGGGGCAGTTTTTGCGCGCATGTTTAGCATTGATAACGTACCACCACCAACTCTACCTGCCCCGTTCCACCCCCATATCTGCCCTGCGTTATGATGATTTATGTTTATAGCGCCTGATGCCCTTTACCCCCGTCACTCGGTTTCCGTCGTTATTCGATGGATCGATCGATAGATACGCGGAGAAAAAGGGGGAAAGCTAATATTCGCTCGTTTCATCTT